TACTTCATCATCGAGAGTGAGTTGAGTGGATTGAAGCAGAAGACTCACGTTGTTAACTGCCATCAAACATTTAACCAAAAAGTAGTGAAAACAACAAATTCAAAAGAATTCATCCATTTAATGAGATAATGCACTTCATCACTACTTTCGCCTGGAAGGTCTAACTCTTTTAGACGATGTAATGATTTCAAGATTTAGCTTTTTTGCTAGTGGCTTAACTGATTCAAATCTTGAACTCCATCGTGTAACAGAAAGTTTATGTAATGATTGGCCTGTCTCCTCCTGAAGAATTTTCCAACGAACTGGGCTGCTACTGAACAGATTGTATAGCTTTTGAATATTTCCAAAACAGGATTTTGCATGAGCCGATGATTCAATAGCGTGTACTGCACATAAGTTCAAACTGTGAGCAGAGCAAGGAATGAAAATTGCTTGTGGATTATTCTGTCTTATCAAAGCTTGAACTCCATTGTAAATACCTGCCATATTAGCGCCGTTGTCGTAGAGTTGACCACGACAATTTTTTATGTCGAGCTCATTCTCTTCCAACACATTCAATATCAACTTTGTTATATCAGATCCCTTCTTCTTTTTAAGTTCTTCTAGCTTAAGGAATCTTTCTTTGACCTCCCACAGCTGATTATCATTGAAATGCAAAAAACGAAAGTTTGTCGGAATTATGGTCTGGCAACTCATTAGAGCCATTGATACCGATCTCAATCGTGGAGGTCTTTGATTATTCATGCTAAAACTTATGACGATATAAAGAATTTTAACTTTTTAAATTTTAAAAATTAAAAACTTTATAATACTTTGGTGTTATTAATTGCAGAGAAAAAGTCAGTACAATTAAAATATCCACTGAAGATAAGTTTCTTGTCAAAATATAGTCGGAACAAAATGCAGGCTAGTCAAAAACATACATATGCACAAAAGTATCCACAGGGACGCAAGGTTTAAGCAAAAATAAGTTAAACTATCAGAAGTCAGGCTTTTACAAACGTTAAATAAGAAAAAAAAAATTTTAACGCTTTTTATTCTATCATGCGAACAAAAGGCCAATGAAAACGCGTGCGTTCAAATGGATAATGAAAACCTTGTAAAGTAATAATTATCCTATTTTAAATGCAAACAGAGTTTAAAAGGAGAAAGAAATTAATACACAAAAATTGCTTAATCTTTAAATACGTTATCAGCTAAATTTTTTATCATTTCAATAATTTTTTTTTAAGGCATGTGATGCCCCATAGACTGTGATGCCCGGGGCAAACTACTTCAATTGCCCCCCTTCCTCATGGCGGCTCTATATATATATATATATATATATATATATATATATATATATATATATATATATATATATATATATATATATATATATATATATATATATATATATATATATATATATATATACATATATATATATATATATATATATATATATATATATATATATATATATATATATATATATATATATATATATATATATATATATATATATATGTACAAATATTTTATATTGTATTCTACAAAATAGAGTGCTCAATGTTCTTAAAAAAGCATAGCTATAATAAATTAGTAGAAAATCACTTATTACATTTTTTTCATTTTGATAAGTCTTTATTGATGAAACACAGTGTAAAATATAAAAAAATTTGATTAGTAATTTTTTACTAATTTATATATACATATGGATTTTCAAAATACTTGTAGCTATTAAGTTATAATGTAAATGACAATAAGATTGTTAAACTATTGGTAACTTTTTGTGTGTTATGTAATAGATAATATATAAAAGTGAAAAGAATTGATATTCTTCAAAAAATTAAATTACTAGGTTTCAATAAAGTTAATTTGCTGGAATCTTTGTTTAAAGAAGTTTTAAATGTTTATAATCTTCATGAAGACGGCTTCAATAAATCAGAGCTTACCAACTTAAAGAATAAGTTGTCTGTTTTTAAAGCAAAAGTGGAAATAAGTTAAAAAAAGCATAATAGAAACTATGACAGATTGATTTTAAAAGAGGGTGTTTGGCTACAGGTAAAGAAACAATAATATTTCTTAATAAATTTTTTTTTATGCACTCATTTTATTTAATTAAGTTTCTATTCACAGGAGGAGTTTTTTCCAGATCTTGTTAAAAGAATTAAATCTAAAGAAGGTCCAGGTAGAAAAAATTAAGTTTGGGAAAATCTTGGTGAAAGAAGCAAATAAGCTAAAATTGCCCATTTGGCTGAAAACAATCACGAAGCATTGGCTTTAGCTTCTTTAAAAAGTGCTGCAACTGAATCCAACATTAATAAAAACAATTTTATCTTTATAGTAAAGAAGGCTTTGGACCCAGATAAAGCAAATGAAATTAGAAAAAACATGTCTATGCATGAACCTGTTAAAATGAAAGTTGAAGATGCTCTCAGCCTAAAAATTCAATGTGATCTGTCCGATGAACAATATCAGATAATCAGAAATAGCTCCCTATTACAAAATGCAAACATCTATCCGTCTCTTCATAAAATTTTAACTGAAAAAAAGAAATGCTATCCTGATAATATGATTTTTTCAGAAACATCTGCAGTTTGCTCCCTTCAATCTCTTTTTAATCACACACTGTGTAGAGTCTTGAGTCTAAACAGTTGCAACAAAATATTTTCTGAATTATCGGTTAAAGATATCAATCAACATGGAATTATCCATTTCAAAGGTGGTTTTGATGGAGCGTCTAGCCAGAGTCTGTATAAACAAAAATATTTAGATACAACTCTAGATGAAGTTATTAAAAATGAAGAGAGTATTTTCCAAACATCTATTGTGCCTCTTAAACTGACTGTTAATGATACAGTAATCTGGTACAACAAAAAACCATTTAGTACACATTTCTGCAGACCAGTATGTTTGCAGTACAAGAAGGAAACAAATGTGCTAATTAAAGAAGAAGAAGAACAATTACGGATTGAAATTCAGAAACTTGAACCATTTGTAGTAAGTTTAGAATCAAAACCGACTGAGTCATCTATGATGACAGCAATTATAAAGTATAATTTGGATTTGACTATGTTTGATGGTAAGGTTATTAATGCACTGACAAGTACTACCTCTTCTCAAAGCTGTAATGTATGTTCAGCAAAGCCAACGGAGATGAATGACATTAAATTGATTAGATCTAAACCTGTCAATAAAGAAGCTTTATTTTTTGGCCTTTCACCTCTTCACTGTTGGATAAGATGCTTTGAGTACATTCTTCACCTTAGATATAAATTGAAAATTCGGTCATTTTATGCTAAAACATCTGAGCAGAAAGAATCAGTTAAAGAAAGAAAAGCATTTATTCAAAAAAAGTTTAGGGAAGAACTAAGTCTTATTGTTGACATGCCAAAACAAGGTTTTGGAAACACTAATGATGGTAATACTGCCAGAAGAGCCTTTGAGAAATCGATTACCTTCTCTGAGATAACTGGTGTAGATGTTGACATCATTTCTAGACTTGAAACAATTTTAAAAGCAGTTTGTTCAGGATATGATTTAGATCCAAGCTCTTTTCAAAGTTATTGCAATGATACAACAGATAAAATTCTTTCTGAATATAATTGGTATGTTATTCCTCCAAGCGTTCACAAACTTTTAGAACATGGTTTACAGATTGCCAATGCATTAGAACTTCCCATTGGAGTTTATTCAGAAGAATCACTAGAGGCTCTTAACAAAGAGATTAGAAATGCAAGATTAAACCATTCATGCAAAATTTCAAGGATAAATGTTATGAAAAACTAATTTAACTATCTTATGATAAAGAGTGATCCAGTTATATCGAGCATTCAATTCACTAACCATAGATGTGAAAATGGGAAATTGCTCCCAATAGAAGTTCTTTCTCTTCTTAAACAGTCGTGATTTTTTTGAGAATTTTATTTTTTATAGATATATTTGCATCAAAAATTAAAATTTAAATTTAGAATAGTTATAATAGTAATTTTCAAAGTATTTTAGTTCAATTAGTATTATAGTACAATTCTCAGAGTATAACTATTATATGCTCTTTGTTGAGGAATGAATTTTTTTTTTTTTTTTTTTTTTTGAAAGTTCTTTCAATCATTGTTTTTAACAGAAGGGGAGGGGCCCGATAATAATTATGACAAATTTGGATGGTAGTGTACCGAGTGATCACGCCTGATTACAAGTCGGAGAGAGTTAAAAAAAGATTTAAAAATAAATTATGTATTTATGCAAACTATTACTTGATTGATGATGATAAATTAAAAAAAAAAAATCTGCTTGCGCGTATCAAATTTCTTACGTACGTATTTTTTAGATAATCAAATTTCTTACGCACGTTTTGCTGGTTGTTGCGCGTAAAAATAATTTAAAATTACATAATTGATCTTTTGACTAAAAAAATAATAACTATTTCTTTAATACATATTAACATGCGATGGTTATATAATTTTTGCCGTTTTTTCTTCAATTTAAGTCATTGTGCGTCGCAGGGTAAATATGAACTGCCGCTAGAAAATTTTTGTATTCACTTACATCTAAAATAATTAATATAAAAAGTTTAATATATAATAATATAAATATTGTTATTTATAGTAATAAAAATATCATTATTTATAATAATATAAATATTAATAATGAGAAATATAAATATAAAACCGCTGCTATTTATTTACTTAAAATTTACAAATAAAAAAATGATCTGTAATATTCTGTATTGTTTATTATGCATGTTTTTAAAAACGTGAATGTTTACTTTTTGCGCGTTTATGAATTATGTCAAAAAAAAAAAGTTAAGTGATAAAGTTAAGTGATAAATCATATATATCATAAAGGTAAGTGATAAAGTTAAGTGATAAATCATATATATCAATAGCCTGATAAGATTGATATAAAATTGGTTAAATTATTTTCAAAAAACTGTCGGCATAAATAATGATGGATAAATGCCTTCTTTTTATAATGTCAGCTATCTTTAATTGTTATATTATCAATGAAAAGTATACCTTGATCATTTGTATCTAACAGTAGAAACGCATCATTAAATTCCCTAATTTGATCGGGTGAAAACCTTTGTTTGTAACTCATGACTTATTAACAATAAATTTGATGATTTATTTTTAGAAGTAAAGTTTTTTATTATAAGAAATATTTTTTTGCAAAAAACCTTACTAGCTTCAGACAATCCGGTTTATAAAATTTTTTGAAGTTTAAAATCTAAAATTTTAATTTGAATAATTTTTGCATTAAATCTCGTTCATAATTTATTGTCATTTTCATTACCTGTGGTGCAACCTATTTATTTCATGCTGTTGTAGTTATTATGTTATGCGTATATGCAAATGCTTAAATATACTTACTTGTGGTTTCATATATCTGTATATATGTATATGTATGTTTATTGATGATGATGATAGATAGAATAACATATTTGGCGCAATATAAGGAACAAGATACTTTGTAGAGAAGGACAATAGATACATTAAAGCTTCTTCCTCTTCTGTCGTTTTATTTTTAAAGCATATTTCAAAACTTGTTTTTCATGCAAAAATATAAACATGCATTTGTCCCTCTTCATTTAAATTTTTTTTTGTTTTTTTTTAAAGAAAAAAAATACAAAAGGAACAACTCTGTTCAAGTTATAAATCGACATTTAATGACTTCTAAAATTTTAAGACTTAGCATGCTTGCCAAATCTTATATTTATCACAAACACATTTCCCAGTGTGTTTTTAAGTTTGATATTATGTGACTCATTTAGATTTATGAGAACTCTCTTATGCATTATTAACATATATATATAACCTATACATAAACAAGAAAACTTTAAATTATTTTGGGTCAGAATTATATCTAGATTTAATTAAGTTTATTAATTTAATTTATTTATTTTGACAGTAAAAAAGAATAAAACACCGTGTTATATAAATAAAATCTTCATGACCGGGACAATATTTGCCTCATCACTACTGCCGACGTGCTTTCATCAAAAAACGTGTACAACCATTAAATAGTAAACATATCATTAATTTGTAGAGTAGAGCGGGGCTAGTTAAGCATTGTTGGGCATGTTGGCCTGTTAAAATATCTCAAAAACTACGAATCACATGACAAACATCTAATGGATGAAAGTTGGGGAATTCAAATGTTAACACAATGCGCAACAAAAGATTGCTGAAAAGCTATTGAGTAAGATAAATGGGCACTTTTTCTATTTTAAACCAAAAAAGTAAAAAAAAATTTCTCTTGTATGCTCATAAACTTTTTTATCTGCAATCGCTTAAGTGTTGATAATTTACGAATTTAACGAACTTTTTATTAAAACTAACTATTTTTTCGAAAGTCTTACCGTTTTTTTTTAAACCTAACTAATGTGTCACCTTGTCTAGTAGGGGTAAGTTTAGATAAATAAAAAAAAAAAGCTGAACTATTGAAGACGAAGAAACAATTTTGATGAGAAATAATAGAGCGGTACATTATTTGTTTGTATTTTTTAAATTAATAATTTTTAAATCTGGCTTTAAAGTTCAAGATAGTTGTATGAAATTACATTTTTGTATTTTTTGACACTTGCCTACTATTTAATTTCTTCTCTTTTTTTACTTATGTGATAAAGTGTGTAAAGTGTTTATAAACTGTACCCACGTTTACTGTTAATTAAAGTTTTATTGATGATTCACCCAAGTTTCGTACCATACATATTCATTTATTTGTTGTTTTTGAACTAACCACAAACTAATGCTAAACTTACCCCGCTGGGACAGGTTAAGCAGCTCCGCAAACTTTAGGCAATATCTTCTCAAAAAAATCAAAAACTATACTTTTTTCTTAACAAATTTTTAGCAGGTTAATTCATCGTTCAAATATTAAAAATATTATGTAAATCTGACGCACCGTTTATGAGATCTGCCAGATTTAGTAAAAATTGCTCAACCCCGCTCTACCCTACCATTTAAAAATTATATAATATTTTACATATACAAAAATGTTAAGATTAGTTACTAATCTATAATCGCAAAAAAATAGTAAAACTAAATAAAAAGTAAAATAAACCTGAAAACTAGAGATAATGAATAGGATAATTTAAAGAATATTTAAAGATATATACAGTATCGGACAAAACAAGTACAACCAAATAATGCTAATTTACTTTCTTTATATAAAAGTGCTGCATTTTTTCAATTTAGAGAAATAACTATGCAACTGCTTAGAGACAACGTTCTTCAAGTTTTATTCATTACAAAGTTCATTATTTGTGCACGAAAATTAATAAATTAATCAAAAGTATTAAAAAAAGTTGATTTCCTTCTGGACAAAACAAGTGCAACTCCACAAAATGTTGACCAAGCTGTATTTCACTATCAATATTTCGTGGCGAATCCTTTGTTGTCGATCACAGCCTTGCATCTTCGAGGCATAGATTTGATCAGGTGATCAATGAAACTTTGTGGAATCGATGCCCAGGCTTTTTGGATTTGTTGAAACAGTTGATCCTTATTACAGACACCTTCATGATTGATTCTGCGGTTGACGATCTCCCACAGTTGTCTTGAAACCACTCCTTGACTACTTTTGCAGTGTGTTTCGAATCGTTGTCTTACTGAAAAACTGAAAAAATATATATATATGTATGTATGTATATATATATATATATATATATATATATATATATATATATATATATATATATATATATATATATATATAATCTGATTTTCAATCAACAAATAAATTAGCTGTGTCATTTTAACAGTTAAACCTTCTTTAGTTTTCATTCAAAGGTTGTATAACAACCTTTTTAAACTAACTTTCCTCCTCTTAAATAGCTTTTTAAAAAACACATTCTCAGGGATCTCAGATCAAGATCGACTACCTGCTTTAAACAATCAAAAAGCTATGACTTTATGTCAAGACTGGAGTATATATTCGTGTCATCGGCAGATAAAATATTTTAATGGTAGGTTTTGTCAGAAAGATCATCAATAAAGATAAAAAATAACACAGAACCAAAGAAAGAAATAATATAAAAAAAAGCATAATTCACATTTATATTTTTAAATCTTGTTTTTAATTTCATTTCTTTTGTCTGTTGGGCTCCGTTAACTTAACGGAGGGACGTTAATACGGCTACAAAATGATACATGGATAAAATCAAAATGGTATGACATAAAGCAATCAGAATTTAGTTTACTACATTTATCAAAATTAAATACATAAAAATAAAAAAAAAACTTCATTTTAAGCAACATTTATCTAAATACTTAGTTTAAGGCAAGTTTAAGTAGAAACGTTCTGAAATAAATTCTTAATAATTTATACATTCATAAATACAGAAAATATTTTATTGTAAGCTTATTGGTGTTTTTTTTTTGAAAAAAAAAAATTCTTTTTAAAAAGAAGGTTAAATAAATAATTGAAGTCACTGTTAACGACAGTTTAGTGCGCAGTCAATTGACAACGGAAACGGCCAAGTGCCAAATAAATATAAAAAGTTTCTTTAATCCCTGTCATCAGAATCGTAATCATTTTCACGACTTTGAGGAGGTCCTCTTGCACGACGATTTCCGTCTTCTGCACTATCGCTACCTCTAGTATTGCGACTATCACGTGTGGCTTCTCGACGATTTCGACTTGCCTGACGCCCAGCAGATATTCTATTTAAAAATAAATGAAACCATTAGAAATTTGTTTATTTCAAATAAAATTCTTATATCAAAAGTATTTTGAGAACTAACTTGATTTATTTAACGTTACCTGGCATTAATAAGAAATGTCGCACAACTAACAGCTTCTGGTGTACCTGCAATAATTACATCAGACATTCTGTTATCTTTCTTTGATTCTTCTACATGCACTGTTGCACCAGAAAATTGTCTAAATGAATTTTATCTTGATCTATGAATTTAATAGTTTAAATAAATTTAAATATAATTTAAATTTAACTAAAAAAAAAAATAAGAAATTCAAAAAATATATATATTAATGTGTTAGAAACCTAATTTCATTTATATGACATCCGCCTTTTCCAATCAACGATCCAATCACCTAAATTTATCAATCGAATAACTATAATTAAAAAACAACGACAAACTATTTAGTTCAGTCAAACTAGATTATTTTCGTGAAAAAAATTTATGAAGCTGAAATTTTGCCTAGTGATTTCCAAATAGATCACGTAATAAAATGGTGTTCCATAGATCGCAACAGGAAAACCCCCTTTTTTGGCCCTGTTTTTAAATGACGCATGTGCAAACAGTTGAAAATTTTTATTTTTAAACATAGACTTATTATATACCATTTTATAGCATTTTTTATGCTGAACAACTCTTTAAGTAACACTAAGATCTTAAAATGAAAGATTTACTATTTGTTTAACAAATAAATGTTACAAATAATACACTAAACACCTTTTTTTTTAGATGAAAGTTTTAATCGAAACTTTTATTAAAAAAGTCATTTATCACATTTTATATAAACAAAATTAAATTATTTTAACAAATATATCTCTGAATTTAAAAATCAGGGTAACATTCAAATAGGTTTGTGTCTTCATCGTCGTAGTTTTCCATTTCTTTTTCCACTTCAATATCGTTGATGCCCTACAGGAAATAGAACAGTAAATATACAACTGATATTTTGTTGAAATATTTTTATTTGATTATAAAGATAAATGATGCGAGAACACGCCTTTTTAGTCGAAGGTTCGTTGTTATAATTTACCTTGCTCTTCATACATTTTGCTAAACGATATTCACCACAAAAATGCAAACACTTTATTCAGTATTTCCTAAACGTACATGCTTTGCCACCACATTGGTTTTTGTTGTTGTCTTCAAGATTTAAAAAAAAATTGTTATAGTTAATAAAAATATTAAAATTCAAATTATATTGTCATTTGATAGTAAAGTTTTTAAGACTTTTTCTGGCAGTTCTAAAAGTTAAACTCATTTCAAAAATGTACCTTGCAATTAATGAAATGACCTTTGTTAGTGCTTCTGGGGCAATATCTTTATCGGTCATTACAGGTGTTATTACTGCATCATGTAGCTTCCGGCCCCATTCAGTTGTATCTAGTTCAAAGTTATCAATTAATGACCATAACATTTTTTGATGCGTTGACAGGCCATGGAAGTAAGCAGCTTTATCAGTAGGTGGAAGTTTTTCTGGCGATATTATACCCTTGCATGCTAAATCGATGTACTTATTTTACCTGAAATTATTATTAAATTAAGTAAAATAACTATTTTTATACAAATAGGAGTCCTATACTGAAAGCAAAAAAATTATCTTAATTTTGCAAGCATGCTTCCTTTTGTTTCTCCATAACAAAATAAAACCTTCAATCAAGGCCATACCAACTTCTTCTTGATTACTCCATGGACTGCTAATTACTTCTGATATTTTTGCTATTTTTCACCCAACATGTTATTAATTAGTTTTGTTTTACTTTTTCCAAACACAGACAAAACAGTGTCACAACCCATTGATGCATGGACAATGAACTGGTACTGTTTTATCATTTTGTTTTTTGAATAAGCATCCTTGATACTCCAAGCATTATCCCATTTATTTTGAAGAAAGTAAATGTAAGACATGTTGTTTTTCCAATGATAAATAAACATCACTGCAATATCTGTGTCATCAGCCTCAACAGTTTCATACTTAAACCTCAGTCAAGAGTCATTTTATATTCATTTTTACAACATCAGCATCACCAGGGCAGTTTACAGTCAAATACCCTGATTGTATTTAGTTATTGTGAAAGAAAATTTATGATATTACCTTTGTTTTCAATATTACTAAAAAACAATCCTGAGTGAATGACACAAGGTTCTCTTGGTGAATTACTACATTGCAGCTTTGTGAAATAGAATTTTTGCGTAGATGCTTGTGACTGTTTGTGCATTAATCTTGATAGCCAGAATGGGTTTCAATACCTATTTATAAAACTTTTGACAATCTTTGCAATTTTGCTTTGTTCTTGATTTTCCAATTTCTTCATATTGTTCACTGGTGTTTGTTGAAATACCTGTAAGTTGAATCATTGCATTGTTTATTGAAGCTATTTGTGAAAGCCTTAGTGCATCTATGTGACAGACAAATCCTTCCATGTCACAGCCACCTGTCAATCCATCCATTGACTTTATAAATTACACCATGGTTTGTTTGATTGCAAGCTCAGTCCAGATGCCATTCCAATATTGCTTTGTTTGTTACACAGTATGGTCGCCACTTGCAAATTCTCTATACAGCCAGGGATACGCTTATGGAAGCTTTTTCATTTTTTGCAAATATGATTGGACACTTATAGCATGGATAATATTAAATACTTTTAACCAAAGTGGCTTGTTAAAGATTATATACTAGGGATATGATTTTTTGACTTTTTTAAAAAAAATTATTTTTCTGTGTCATAAATCAATGAACTTTTATTAGAAAACATTGAAAACATGATCAATTCCTCTCGGTTGTAAAAAAAAAGATCACCCCGCATTTCAAATTACGTTTCGTCATTTATTTAATCTTGTTACTACTACTACTAATACGTGTGGCAAATCATTTAAAACTTGTATAGATTAGAAGTGTTAAGAACTTTTGAACATTTTGGAAAATAACAGAAAATTTTAGAAGACTTTAGAACATTCAAGAACAATTTAAAACATTCTAGAACAATTTAGAACATTCTGGAATATTCTAGAACATTTTAGATCAATATAGCTGCTCATCTAATTTTATAGTTATTACAGAAGCATAACATGGCATCGTACCACGACTGTTACACTGTCACTAATACTCAGTATATGAAAGAATTTTTACTGCGAATTGCAAATAATTAATTATCTCAAGAAATATACAACTTTTTTTTATTCTGTAAAAAGTATTATTTATATAAGACATAAGAACAGTAGAAAAGTATTATATAGTAACTTAAAAAGTTTTTACTCGAATCATACCTATTACTTTAAAAAAAAAATGTTCAAAAAGTTTTTTTTTTAAATTTTGAACAGAATATTTTCTTAAATATTAATCTCAATCTCTCAAGATATACAACTTATAATACAACATTTTTTTATTCTGTAAAAAGTAATATAAATAATACCTTAGAGAAACAGAAAAATATTACATTGAGTTATTAAAAAAAGTTTTACTCGAATCGTAACTATTACTTTCGAAAAAGTAAATTAAATTTTTTTTTTTTTAAATTTTGAACAGCATATTTTTTTAATAAAGCTCAAAATTAAATCATTGTGTAAGTTGTTACAACTTATGCAATGAGGAAATGTTGTGCTTTGATGAAAAAATATAGTGGCATGTCACGGTAACTTACAGTGGCGTGCCACTTAAACAACTTACGTAATGAGGAAATGTTAAATTTACTACTTTTTTTTTTGCTTCTCGTTTTTTTTGGCGCCCCATTAAACCTTCGCGCCCGGGGGCAATTTCCCTCTTGGCTCCCCGCTACATTACTGATTTGGTAAAAACAAATAGCAGATACCCAAATAAAAAATTAGAAACATTTTTCTCACTAACTGTTCATTTAAAACAATTTAATGATAAAAAAATGCTACAGAACAAAATTTTATTTTTTTACAGGCAAGTTGTTTTTGTTAAATGTTTGTTTTGTTTTTCTTTTAGTTATATATTAAATACAAACAATTAGGCGCAATCATTTACAATTTGCCTTCGTTACTCTTTATGGATTAATGGAGGGTTTAAATAAACAAGTTTTCTGTTAAAAAAAAGTTTGGAATTGTAAAATTACAAAAAAAGCGTTAAAAATTTCTTGAACATGAAACTTACAAAATCTAATTTTGCTTTTTAATTTTAATTTTTTTAAATAATACGAGACAACTTGTTGATAAATTTGTATTTGAATCCGCTATTTGGCACGTTACAATATTGAAAAATTATAGGGAAGTGTTATAGGATTTTGAAAAATGTAGTGCGATGTTCTTAACGATTTAAGTAGCGGATTTCAACAAATATATTGCAAAGCCTTTAAAACACAACGCATTAAAAATTGTCAAAAGCTTTTGTAGTTCTCACGCGAAATGCTTTTGTATATAGCTCATTTTCATTTGATTATTAAAATAATGAAAGTTATTTCACTTAAAAAAAAAAAATTATTTATTAATACTGTTTGGTTATTTAACGGCACATTAAAAAAATAATGAAGACTATTGAAAAAATATATTTACAACAAATAATTTTTTTGTTCATTTGTTCAACTTTTATGAAAAAGGCTTTTTTTTTTAAATTATTATTTAATTATCTAGTATTTATTTAACGTGTATTTTTGCCATTTTTCTTTCAATTTAAATAGCAGAAAAAAATGGATTTGTAATGCTTACAATCCAGCCACGAAGTCCTGCAAACTATGCACATACGAAAAATATTAAATTCTATTTTCAAAAAATAAAAATTTGCTAAACAAAAAAAGTAAAATGGTATCTAAGTGCAGGCATCGAAACAAGTTCCTTCTCGCCCTATTCAACACGGGTGATTGAGCAATTTTCTAAATAACTAAAATATTGTTTGTTATGACGTCAAAACTCATTCCATTGCTTTGTTATTGATTTTTTTCTGTTAGTTTCTGTATTTCATATTTTTAATGATTTTTCTTAATTTAAAGAATAAAATATGGCTGATGATTGACGAAGGGCATGAAACTTTAAGTTCCATCACAAAGTTGTATTTTTACAAATAATCAAACTTTATATATATATACCTCTATAATAGAATATATTTAATTTGACACAGCATTTTTGAGCCAAAATTGAGTTTTTAAATGTATTAGTCATGATAGGATCTTCTGATATTTCCCTATCACTTTTCCCCACTTTCTTCAGCCTGAAGTCAGTCATGCATGAATTTTGATACACTGCTTCTTCTGCAACCAAGTCATTTATGTTCCCAATCTTGTAAGTACTGCTTTGCCCCATATATCATTCCTTGCTTTCTCACAATTGATAATAATGTTATGTAATGATAGCGTTTGCACCTGGTGGAACCTCTCTTTATGCCGTGTAATAGGCTTTAAGCAATATAATAACAATCTTTCCAGAGAAAAGCAGTTTCAATTGATGAACGTAAACTCTTAGCTTCTGGTCCAACAAGCTTTTTCCAAAAATTCCAAAAAAGTGAGCCTCCTTGACATTTTTGACGGACACTCACTGGCTCTTGTCTATCTTGGTGGTCCTTTAACATTTGAGTTACATTAATAATTATTAATTATTATTTGAATACATAGCATTTATTTGTTAAATACCTAGTCACCCTTTTGTTTTAAGACTTTAGTGTGTATTAAATAGTTGTTCAGCATAAAAAATGTTTTAAAATGGTATATAATAAGTCTATGTTTAAAAACTTTTAAACTATTCGCGCATGCATCATTTTAAAACAGGGCCCAAAAAACGGGGTTCTCCTGTTGCCAATCATAGTGCATTTTTTTACGTGATCTATATAACTTAGGGAATCACTAGGCAAAGTTTCAAATAATTTCAAAAAATTTTTTCCAACAAATAGTAGTTTCTTGAGTTTTACTTTGGACTTATTAAGAAAAATAAATAAATATAAAGTTTTGTTAACATACGTTGCTTGGCAAACGGACTTTTTGTTCACTTCTTCTTGAAAGTCCTAAAACAGTTTTATTAATAAATTACTGCAAATATTTTTCTTAATAAACTACTGTAACTAAAATTAACTTATTTTTTTTCATTCAGCAAAATTATTTTACAGCTGTAGGGTTTTTTTGTATTACTTATACTCCTTAAAATTTTTTTATTTAGTATTTCATATTTTTCTCTAGACTTTAATTGCATAAAACAATATTATAAATTACTGCAAATTGTAAGCTAAAAGCAAATTTAAATTTATTTCAATAATAAGTTGATAAAGATATGTTATTTGATGTACCATCATGTGATTGAGAGGAGAAAACAATGATGACAAACAAATGAAAAAACAATAATAACAAAATAAATACATTTGAATAATTAAATTTAACAACCTGTAAAAGAAAGCTGCCCACTCATAACAGAAAGCTTAAAAATAAATAATTTTTGAAGTTATTAAAACATAATTTTTAATTTAATAAACAAATCATTCAAAAGAAAAATTATTACTTGATGAGGACCCATGGAACGAGGATACATATTAGGGAAGTATTGGACATTGTTTTGACGAGCAGGAAACTGAAATAAAAAATTGCAATTTTATCATGAAAAGTATAAAAAATTGGCTTATAGCAACAACAATGCTGTACCTCTTCAAAAATGTCCCATATTTTAGCTATGCACAACCCTAGAGCTTCTGGTGATCCTGCTAATGTTACAGACCTTTCAGATGAACCTGGAAGTGTTTCAGAGGGTATCTAAAATTAAGTCAAAAATGAAAACAACTTTTGAACTACAGAATATTATTATATTTAAAAATATAGATAAGTATGTTACTTACAGTTATTGTTGCCCCTGATGCCTAAAAAAATATACGAGACAAGTATTTATGACATGTATATTTAAACAGTAGATAAAATAAGAACACAGTATAAAGAAAAAAAAAATCTTTTTTTAAAAAAAGTTAATAAATTATGCAATATGTTAATGTTTTAAGGAAATTTAAATAACTTTTAAAGAGAGACTAGAAGGCTACAGAGTTTAATTGATAACATATGTAAAATAAAATTTGAAACCAACAATTTTTAAAATAAAAATTTCAAAAAAATATTTATATAACAAAAAATTTATAAAAACAACAAGTGTTGTAAAAACTAAAAAAGGTATTTAGTAATTGAACTAATTTTTTATAACCTTGACATCCATTTTTTAAGATATTACATGATACTGACTTCTATCAGCTTATCAGCTGTTTATTCACTTATTGTTAAAAATTTCCTTAACAATCCATATTAAAACAGGCTAGCTAACATATTTGCTGTGTTCTTATATTTTGGCACCAGTAGCATCTTTAGCGTTTGTGGCAAATCTGTGAATGATTTAGCACAGCATGATAAAGCCCAAAATACATATTTACTGTGATAAAAATACTTAGTGCAATAAAAGTCACAACACATACTTCCTGTGACAGAGGCCGTATTTCCTTTACTGTGAGATAGTAAATTAACAAACTGCTCGATTATACACAGTACATTAACAAACTATACAATTATAAACCAGGTATCAGGTTGATAGCACACTTGGTTTAATTGGAGTTTTACTCAGACTTTTAGGTAACATAGCAAACTAAGCAAAAACTTTCAGTCCAACTTTTATGTAAAATGCTTAACATCATAAGTTAACAGAGTGCTGTCATTTTAGTGATAAGAGTGATTACAAAATAGAAGCAAAGTGCTTTAGGCAATTGTTGATGGCAAGGGCTAATTTGTAAAGCAAATTAGCCCTTGCCATCAACAATAAAGTTTTTTGTCTTTAACTTACTTTGTATAATTTTCAAATTAGATTAGATTTCTTTTTTTTTTTTAGTCAATAAGAATAATTAAAAAAAAAATACTAAATCATTTTGAATATACGATTAAATAAATATTCATAATTTTTCTTTTACATTATCTAGAAAACACTGACCAAGAATATACTTAATAGGTTTTCACTTTAGTGAGTATAATTAAAAATATTCAATTTTGCATGCACATGCATTACAAACTCTTGAAAAACTTTCAACCTTGTTTTTAGATCCATTTTTTAAAATATTCTGGCTATCAACCGAAGGATCCAAAATTAATCTTGTCGCTTGGATTTAAGAAAATTTAGCTTTTCTTACCGAGTAGTTGACATGTGGAACAATATGACTTCGGAGGCTGTAAATGCAAATAACATTTTAACGTTTAAAAATAAAAATAAATCTTTCGACTTTAACAAATATCTATTGTAAAAGGAACAAATATTTGTTTCTTTATAATTTTTTTTTTTTTTTTTGTAGCAATATTTTAAAAAAATTTTTGGGCACGTTGTTAGTGTCCATCTTTGTATGGGCCTTCGTGTCCTTTAGAACATGTATTAATACTTTGTTCTAATAAATATCAAATACAAAAAATAACAAATATAACATTTTTTTACGATTTCAGCATTTTTGGAATGACAAAAAAAAAATTTTTTTGTCATTCCAAAAATGCTGTTCCACCTAGTACAGTTGTCGAGCAGTAGTCCTTTGTCATGTAAAGATCCATAAGTTTCGTGCACATTTCTTTTAGAAAATTCATACCGAAACAATGAGTATTTCAAGAACTTAATTAATATTTGAAGTTTCTTTATACTTTTTTTGATATTTTCTTCATATTAAATCTTTTCCGCCAAGTAATTATTAGGCATTTCTTCTTCAGTCTCTCCATCAGTTTCTGTTTCTGCTTAAATATTTGATTCAGATTCTTTACAGTCCACAATTTTGTGACAATCTTTTTTAGCACATATCAAATCAAAAAAAAAAAGCTAAAATAAATTGAATAATTCTGGCAGATTTGATGCGGAAACTTAATTATGGTATCCAATTTCAGCATCCACCAACGGCTATCTGTAGTTTTAACTGCAATATATCACTACCTAAGCTTTTAAATTTTCTATTATAAAGTTTAAATGTTTCAGCAGAACATGGAAACCACAATTTCACCACAATTTCACTTTTCTTAAGCAATACATGAAGTTGTGGTGATTTATTTTATATTGATTTAAATTATAGTATCTTCTACTAATCGTCACTTGTTAACTCTCAGATATTTGTTTTTAATTCATTTAAATTAAATAACTTTGCTTTGAATTAACTAACGTTTAATTACACTTACCTTTTCAATAAATAAACTTAATATTTTTATTTTTCACTTTTGTTTGTTTTTAAAATTAATTTGTAATATTACAAAATTCTCTGCCAAATTTGGCGTCACATTAGGATGTCATTGAAAAAAATTTTCTTCTAAAGATAAAACTTTCATTTTAAAAACAACAACTTAGATTTATTGTAAAAGCAACATAGAAAAAAAAAGGAGAATTTAGTTATTTTACCAATAAAAAAATTATTTTTTCCAAAAACTTTGTTGGAGTTCTGTCGAAATTTCTCGATTTCTCTCAAACTCTGAAAAACCAAGAAAAATCAGACGAGACGGAGTTCCGAATAGATCCCTTGCTATCAACTTCCCATTCCTTTCATGTTAAAAAACTTTGGTCATGTTGAAAAAATTTGATCATGTTAAAAAACTTTAATCATGTTTAGCACTGTCTGACTTAGAGATTACGCAAATTTTCCCATGACTAAATAATGTTGTCAACTTTCTTTGCAGTAATCAAGCAGATCCTCCGTGTTTTTATAAAAAATTGCAAAGATTAAAAATATATAAACACTGTCAAAAGATTATTTGTTTAAACAATCTTACCAGCAATGACGCCCTTGTTGTAAAATTTTTATTTAACTTAGACACAGCACAAGTTTTGATAATTACCATGTTTAAAAAATGTGCTGAAAAAACCAAAGTATACTTAAACTAAAATAAACAAACCATAAACAAAAAAAATTAACAAACCATAAACTGAAAAGGGAAATAAAAACTAATGAAAAAAATAAAAAACTAAACTACAAAAATTAAAATCTTAACAAATGATAAAATAAATAAAAGATATAACTGAAAGAAAAAAAAGCACAAAATTATTATTTTTATAAATTTGAAAGTGTTTCACTTCATCAATTTAAAAAAGATAGAAGTTATTTAATCCAAGTTTAACTACATTGAAACTTTGAAAATGAAAATTGCACATTGAATGTGATCAAAAATTATTGGTGATCGCAGAGCATTTCTGAGGAGGGAGATCACCATTTATCCACTATTTAATTCTAATTGGTTATTATGGCACATTTTTTTTTACCTTTTTTTACTTTTTACACCCATGAATTTTTTAAACATTTTTTTAACATTTTTTTACCTTTTACACCCATGAATTTTTGCGCTTTGTGAGCTTTTTTTTATGAACTTGTTACATTAACGATATTTATATATTTTTATGTTACACAGGTGATTATTAGTTCTCAATTTACTATGTAACAAGTCGGGGCTCACCAGCAACAAAGAATTTTTTTTTTGTTTATGCATAAAAAAATGTTGGTGTTATAATAACAGAAAATTGCACATACTTTGAAAATACTTTGATATTTTCTAATATCTACTTAGTAAATAAAAAAAAAAAAGATCCATTAAAAGAATCTTAACCTCCATCCAAAACAGAACAGTTTTATAGAACAGTTGCACCTCATATACATAATATTAAATCCCAAGTGCTACAATAACAAAAAAAAAACTATTTGCTTTATAGTAAAAAACCATAAACTGAAAAGAGAAACAGAGTCTTAATAATAAAAAAATATATATACAAATAAAAATAAAAGCATAAAGTTAATACATTTTTTAAATCTCAAATTTAAAAAATGTATTAACTTTATGCTTTTATTTTTGTTTGTATATATTTTTTTTTATTATTAAGACTCTGTTTCTCTTTTCAGTTTATGGTTTGTTTAGTTTTAATTTTCAATTTAGTTTGGTTTTTTCAGTGCATTTTTAAAACACACAAATTATAAAACATGCAAAGTGCCGCGACCAAGTTGTCAATAGAAAATATTATGTGCAGAAAATATTATATAAACAATAATATAATGGAACTCTTTGAAACAATGCTCCAAACAAGATATTATGGAGCGTTCATCAAATATTGATGTACAAATAATTGTTAAAGACTCGGTTAAATTATTCATTAAAGCATATTCGTAAAAACTTGTTTAAATTATTCATAGGATACGAATATATTTGTAAACCTATATTTGTTTAATAAATAATAACTGTTTAACAAATATATATTTGTTGAACAAATAAACGGGAACGAATATATATTGGTTTACTTTTACTGTTTAAACAAATTAATATTTGTTCAACGAACATTATTTGTTTATAGAATATTATTTGTTAAGCAAATTTTATTTGTTAAATTAATATTTTTTAAACGAATATAAAATAACCAAAATTTGCATTTTACAAATTTATTATTAAATTTTAATTTTTAATATTTGAAAATGTTAAACAAACATATTGCGATTTATACTCTTTCAGTTAATTTCGGATTCACGTTATACCAACAACCTGCAAGTCACAATTCATTTACAAAGCTGCCAACGACATACGCTGGTGGAGACATTTAGCAGAAAAATACATTTAGATTTACAGGGTTATGCAAAATTATAAAGTGCTTTATGCAAAATTATAAAGTGCTTTATGCAAAATTATAAAGTGCTTTATGCAAAATTATAAAGTGCTTTATGCAAAATTATAAAGTGCTTTATGCAAAATTATAAAGTGCTTTATGCAAAATTATAAATTGCTTTATGCAAAATTATAAAGTGCTTTATTTAACAATAAATAAATGCCATTATAATAGTACAGGTCATTTTCAGAATCATCTAAGAATGCATAGGAATTAAAATACAATATTAAATTGTAATTAAAAATTAAATGACTAACTGGCTGAATAACATAAACCAAATCAGTAACGTTTTTATCTAATTAATGCAAGTTTTTTAAATTAATGTTAAAAAATAAAAATTTAAAACCTTACATGGCAAGAAAAAGTCGAATAACAATAACTAAGGAAATTCATGAAACAATTATAAACATGTCTAATTCGATAAATAATCATTCAACAAAATACATTGCCGAAAGTTTAATCATTAGCCAAAGTGCTGTAAGAAACTGCATAAGAAATCATCAAGAAGGCATCAAATTTGCTACTAAGGGAGAAAGCCACAAGCAAACAATCAAAAACAAAAATTTGTTGTTCAGTGAAATCGAAAATACTTTATTTAATACAATAGCAATAAATAATGAACTGACACAAAATGAAATGGTAAATGAAGTTAATGCAGCAACCGGTATGGTAATATCTCAATCAATAATATCAAGGAAATTGCGGAAAATAAATATAACGCGAAAAAGGCTTTCATTGGTTCCCGAAGAACGAAATTCCCCTGCAAATATTGAAAAAAGGGCCATATATGCCCGCCGTATCTCGCGTATTTCTAGTGATAAATTGGTCTTTTTAGACGAATCAGGATTTAATCAGCATTTGAGAAGACGATATAGGTATTCCCAAAAAAATTAAAAGACATATTCCATTGTTTCCGGAAATAGATATACAAATCGAAGTTTGATGTGTGCAATAAATATTTCTGGTGTGGTTGCTTATGAATTAAAAACTGGAGCTTATAATGCTGAAAGCTTTGAAAGATTTATAAGAAATAACCTGTGTAATTATTTCCGACAAAACCCAGACCATATACTGATAATGGATAATGTTCCATTTCACAGATCAAGAAGTATTATAGAAGTTTTAAATGAATTAAGAATAAATAGAGAATATTTACCGACATGGTCTCCTCAATTAAATCCAATTGAGGAATTTTTTAGCATGATAAAGGCAAGATATCGCGGAATAAAAGCTTTAAATAATAAAATTAATATTAGAGATGCATTGGAAATAATTTATAATCGAATGCGTGAAATTAACGAAGAATTAAGTGGATTTTGGAGATCAATGGAACGATGGTTGGAAAAAGCTAAACAAAACATGATTTTTGAATAAAGTAGTTGCTTAAATTAATATAACTTTTTTGAAGTCTAAATGTTAAATGACATGAGCATATATATAAATAAATCATATATTCGAACTTTTTTATGCTTTAAATGGATTTATTAAACGATTCAAAATTTTGCATAAAGCACTTTATAATTTTGCATAAAGCAATTTATAATTTTGCATAAAGCACTTTATAATTTTGCATAAAGCACTTTATAATTTTGCATAAAGCACTTTATAATTTTGCATAAAACAATTTATAATTTTGCATAAAGCACTTTATAATTTTGCATAAACCTGTAAAAAAAATAAAAATACAAGTTTAAATATAAAAGTACAAGTGCTAAAAAATAGCAAATAAAAAGAAGGCAGTACAATCATTTGCATCTTTTTAATATTTTTTTAAGACATTTCATCATTTAAGATACAAAAGAATCTTTTATATCTTAAATAATGAAATGTCTTTAAAATTTTTAAAAAGATGCAAATGATGATTATCTTTTAAAAAGTTAAACCTTATTTTTGTTAAAATTTTAATTAAAAATCATTTACGATTTAAAAACATAACTTTTTATGGCAAAGTTTAAAAAAGGTCAAAATAATTTTCCCTCTTTTTTTTCACTTCTGGTACTTTTCATAATATTTATCGTTATTTATCTTTAAAATATGAATTTAATCACAATTTGTTGTAATTATAACAATTTGTTACTGTCACTTTTAACTTATATAATAAGTAAGAAAACATTACTTATTAATTTGTAATTAATAAGTAATATTTTCTTGCTTACTATATATTATATTAACAAAATATTTAAATTAAATTGATCATTAGCAAGCTAACTTTACAGGTAAATTTTATGCAATTTATTCATTTTAATGAATCAAATTTAGTTGTGGAAAACAGGGCAATTCCAAACAAAAATATCATTTTAGGCTTTTTAATTGTTTTTTGCAATAGTTATTTATATAATTTATTAATTTACTCATTAAATATATGAAACAATAAGATCAAGTTTGTTAAATATTAGCTATTACCCGTGCTGATTTTTGACACAGGTATTTCTATCTAAACTAATTTTATCTGTTTATACTAATGACATTCTAAAGGAATTTCCTTTCAATTAAAAGTTAATTTAGATTAAATATTTGAATATTTTTTTGCAGGTGCAAGCTGCCTTTCTTCATAAAAATACCCAGAAAATCTTGTATTTGGAATTTCTTTGAAATGACTGATACTACTCATGCAAACTGTAATGTGTGTGAAAAAGAACTTGTTGCTAAAGCCAGTACTTCAGGTCTTATTAATCATCTAAAAGGGCAATTGTTGCCATGTTTTTTCGGAATATGAGAAAATCAATTATGCCCAACAAATTGCGAGAGAGTCTCGCGTTATTGATGATGACAATTCTTCAGAAACCGATTTCATCAGTACACCTAAATGAGCTCATCTTGTTGCCATTATTGAGTCATACCCTCAATTTTTAACATCATCTAGTAAATCGAGAAGCTAAAGTCTCTAAAACTTCCCGTGTTGTTATTCCATGGCCCAAAAACCATTTTGAAAATGTAAATATAGTTACATCATTAACTAAGTGGATTGTCCACAAACAATTACCTTTTAGGATAGTGAATAGTAAATATTTTTATGAAATAATGAATGCAAGCAACAAAGGGGAAGTATAACCCTGTTTCATCAAAATCACTTTCTCAGGACAGAATTCCTAAATTATATAAATTCATCAGTGACTATGTGAACAAAATTATTGATAATGAGAAGATTGACATTGAGGGTTGTGCCTTTACTACTAATATCTGGACTTCTGGTATTAACCTGGCTTTCCAATCGCTCACTCTACATTTTATTACAAAACATTTTCAGCTTAAACAACTTCTTGTTAAACTTGATCCATTTCCTGATGCACATGATGCCAAAAATATTGTAAAAAAACTAGATTACTAATAAAACGCTTGAATTTGGAGAATAAAACATATACATGGGCAACAACTGATGGAGGTTTAAAAGTTATGAAAGCTATGCGCATCAGCAAAGTTGTCATCGACAATCTTTGGTGCGCTGATCATCAGATACATTTAACTGTCACACAAGCTCTAGCTAGTGTTCCTGAGTGGTTAAAAATTTCTCTAAAGCTAAACAAATTAGTTGGGCACTTCAGTCATTCTTCTAAGGCTACAAGTATTTTGAGGAAAATTGCTATTGACCATAAGCAACCACAAACTAAACTTATCCAGAAAGTACCAACTAGTTGGAATTCTGACTTGAGGCAGTTAAAATCCATTATGGATCTAAAAGGGTGCTTGGCTATAATGGCAGAAATGTCAACTAAAATTGAAGGTTGGATGCCCACTGTTGTAAAAGCTAATATCATTAATGGTATTATTGAATGTCTTGATCCAATTGATAAAATTTCACAAAATTTAAACTCTGACAAAGACCAAACAATCAACTTGGTGATAAAATCTATAATCTTAAGAAAAAATTAGCTAAAATTGGAAAACTAAGTTCTCTTAAGTGACATGTGTCACGATTATAATTCAAGCTCTAATAGCAGAAATCGAAAAACGCTTTCCTGATTGTGGTAATAAAGTACCTGAGTATTCAATGGCACATTTTCTTGATCCAAGACAAAAGGGATCAATCATTTTTGCACTTGATAAGCAAAGATACAAAAACATCAAGGATGCCGCTACTCAAGCTATAATTGATATGCGCTAAAGAGATATTGGCAAAAGTCCAACATGCATTGAAAACTTAAACCAATCATCCGAAAATGATAATTCGCCTGATGAAGAAGCTTCAACTGCTGCTGTAAAGAAGCTATATGAGCAAAATAAAAAACACTGATAAAAATTGTCCATTAATTTATGCCAAATGCAAGATAACACGTTACGTTGATGAAGGAGTTGAAATGACAACGCAGATATCAAATATTGGAAGACCAATCGTACAAGATTACGTTATTTCAGCAGACAAGCAAGAAAGATCTTGTGCATCCCTGCATCATCAGCTACCTCGGAACGATTATTTTTAACTGATAGAAATGTTATATCAGAAAGAAGAAATAGCCATAGCATTGACAATATTGAAATGATGTTTTTCATGAAAGAAAACTTGAAGGAGATGGAAAATGTCACTTGTCAGATGTTTGAAGAAGATAACAATAAAAAATGAGAAAATATGTACAAAAAATATACTTTCTTATACATAATAATTTACTTTTTTTCATTGTTATTTTTCATTAGAATTTAATTATTATGAAAAGTTGATAATATTATTATCAGGTGGCCTGTGACAAGTAGATAGGTTATGGAATAACAAAAAAAATTCAAAAAATACATAAAAAACTTTATTAAACATCAACTTCAGCAATGTGGCATAACTAAATCTGAAAAATATTGTAGATATATCTAAGCTAGTGACCAATATCCTAACAAAATTAAACGTCTTAAAATATATTTGCAACTGCTTATTTGCTGAATGACTATTTTATTTATACAAGGAATAAGCGGGAATGAATATATTTGTTTAATGAATATTTGTGAAGCATTTATATGTTGAACAACTATCATTTGTTCAGTAATCGTTCAACAAATAAAATGAAAACGAACGAATATTCGTAATTGTTTAACAAATAATCTTTAAAAAACTTGTTTATCAAATAATCGCTGCGCTCTAATGGATAGTATTACTTTAAAAACATTAAAATCATATTAAAATAATGGAAACAATATTGTAACTAATGTATAACCTATAATCACAAATATCAATTACCTCTCTAATTTCTTTAATTCTTTGGCCTCCTTTTCCAATCAATGGGCCACACTGGCTGTTGGGAACAAGTAAACGCAATGTAACAGGTGGAACATATTCATTATTAGAACCAGATAAAATCTAAAACAATGATTTTTCCATAAGGTTATTGCTGTGTCATGCTAAAACCAAACATGACAATTAAAACCAAAACAAAACATGACTAATTTCAACAATGTTTATTGTTAGTTAAACTTTCCGATAAGTGATTACTGATTATTAGTGTTTATTAAACTGATTACAATTAGAATAAACCAACTAAACCCATAGCTACAGATATTTATGCACAGATACACAGTTTAGACAATAACTATTCATATTTGTGATTGTGTAAGAAACATGTTTTTTTTTTCCTTTTCCTTTCCCACCAAAAATTATGTGCTTTAAAAACTATATAGGTAGGGTTCATGTATATATATATATATATATATATATATATATATATATATATATATATATATATATATATATATATATATATATATATATATATATATATATATATATATATATATATATATATATATATATATATATATATATATATATATATATATATATATATATATATATATATATATATATATATATATATATATATATATATATATATATATATATATATATATATATATATATATATATATATATATATATATATATATATATATATATATATAAATGAACTGCAAAATATGTAAATAAAAGCCAATGCTCATAATAAAAAAAAAGAAGCTATACAGAAACCAATTAATAGAAAATTTAAAATCACAGCAACTTTTAAGGATTTTTAACAATAATAAACATGTAGGACTCTTGAAAAGCAAAGCTGGGAATCACTGAACTATACTTGAAGAATAAGCATTTACATCTAATATATAATATATATTTTTTTATTTTGATAATATCTACTTTAATCATGTCATCATTATAAATTAATATATACAGTTTGTACATGCCTAAATACAGATTATAAATAAATGCTTTCTAAATACAAATTGTTCTTATACAACTTACAATTAAACCAGACATACAATCATTATTTAAACCAACTACATTATCTGACAAAATATATATTTTTTAAACAACTATTTCATTTTCTCTTCAACAACTTCTTAGAAAAAAAATTAAACTAATATTTAAAAAATAAGTACTTCTTGTAATTTCTCAGCAACCATTCGTACTGCAGACTTTACTTCTGAAGAAGTTCCTTTGATATTCAAAATTCTATAATAAAAAAAAAAGTCATTTAAATAAAATCTTTTTTAAAATGTGAAATTCTAAAAACAACAATATAAATTATTTGGAAAGATTCTTATCAATCGATGATTTGCTGAAGATTATTTTATTAATAATTGTTTTGTTTTTTGTTTTTTTTTGTTTTTTTTTGCTGTTGCTTTTTAATTATGATTCATTCTTGAAAAGGCTGCAAGCAACCACTACTAAGTTGGGAGTTACTAGAAAAAAATAATAGAGTTATAGAGCAAGGAAACGATTGAAAGAAAACTTGAAAAGTTGGTTGTTTTTTTTATCAAGACATTTTTATCAAGAGACCATGGTTTAACGATAATTGGTAATCAAACTATTTTTTAATCAATAATGATTGGTTTAATAATAAAGTATTTTTAAATAGTTATTTAATGAATTAACAATTTCTTAAATAATTAACTCAACTATAATATTATTAGAATTTATATTCTATAAGTAAACATTACTACTAAATATAAGAAATAAAATATGTGCATTACGATAAACTACAAGGCATGAATTAAGTGATTGAAAATTTTTATATCTGGAAAGTCTTCTGTTCTTTAAATTTTTAAAGATCTTTGGATAAAATGATACTTTATGACATTTCTCTGACACAAATGACACTTCTTCATTTGAATATTAAAAATGTTAATAAGCTTAATCACTAAATAAAAATCTAAAAAACAACAGCAAAATCATGAATCAAATGTTTCATGTTTGTATCAAATTATTTTGAAAAAAGTTTGTGTAATGGAAACCTATACAATTTAGGTTTATGGCATCTTACGCAAATATTTGAAAAACTGTTTTTAAAAATGTAAACTGTTAATACCTTTCAACGCCAGTACTTCCTGAAACATTTATGTTAGCACCGCTCTAATAAAATAATAAAAACATGCCATTAAAAATTAACTATAACAATATCTCTAAAAATAATTTTTTTTGGAGGTTTTAAGTTGAAGTCATTTTTGCTTCTGGTTTTTATAAGTAAATCTTTCCAGCAGGTTGATATGAGATAAAAACTGTTGAAAATGAATTAAAAACAGCTTTATTTTATTTATTTATTTTTTTTTTTTGTATCTTTTTTAAAAAATAAAGAACATTTAAAAAATGAGGGGGTTTTAAACTTTATACAAGGGATCTTTCAAGTGCTAAAATATATTCCAATGGAGTATCATTTTGTCTAAAGGACTTGAAACTTTGGCACAGTTGGGTCTATTACCATCAAATCCACCACCATTCAGGGCTGACAACACAGGTTTCAAATTAGGGGGGGGGGGGCAATTGTCAACTTTTAAAAAAAGTTTAGAATTTTCTTTAAAATAAAAGTCCTTTAAAAGAAAAGTGGAAGAGGGGGAAGGGCCTGCCCCCCCCCCCGCCCTCTTCCACAGAATGTTACTTATAATGTTTATACACAGATGTAACTTATAGTGTTTATACACAGATGTTACTTATAGTGTTTATACACAGATGTTACTTATAGTGTTTATACACAGATGTTACTTATAGTGTCTATACACAGATGTTACTTATAGTGTTTATACACTGATGTTAGAATAATATTGAATCTGTATATGAGGTTTGCTATCAAATTGGTACTTTCACATTTTATCTTTTAGTGATCCAAAAGTTCTTTGAATTCCTTTCAACACATTGGGTCATCACAATAACAGCAAAAGTATTTTCCACAGTAACTCTATATTTTAGAAAAAAATTTAAGGTGTTGCTCACTTACCTTGCACCCTAATTCAAGATATGGAAATACAGATAATTCAATGATGATATGGATAAGTTTGTGAGAGGCTAAAATAAACTGATTGTATTAAAGGAGTTTTGTTTCATAACCATATCACACTAGACACAGTTTTGAACTATGTCTAGTGTGATATGTCAAAGTTTTGATAATTTGAATCAATAAACTATTCCTCTAATAAGATAGACATTTTTTGTTGACAACAGAAAAAGATTTATCTCCAATTTTCTGAATGAAATCTTGGTCTTGGGGTTGGTGTGGCATCGGGCCTCCGGCAATAGTTGCAGCAAGGGGTGCACCAGTGTGGCGCCTGGACTAGGGGTGGTTATGATCCTCTTTTAGAGGAGAAAAATGAAGAGTTTTTTTTATTCCATTGTTTTTAATGAGTTGAATGATTTATAAAAAGTAATTTGTTAAAGGTGGGATGACTAGGAGGACAATTTAATATCATTTGCTTTAAAATGGCCCTAAGCTTTCTAGAATTTGATTATCAATAAATTAATAAGTAATTTTATATCTTAAAGGACTTTTTTTTTTTTTTAAATTGTGATTAATTAATATATCAAAATATCAATTATTAATAAAAAATAATTTTGAAACAAAATATTTTTTTTTAATATATTTTTTACATTAGATTATTTTAATTTTATAAATCAATATTCGAACAAAATGATTAATTAAAAAAATTTATTAGACAATTAATTTATATTTATTTATTGAGAATAGTCTGAATTTTCACATATTTTGTGTCAATCATTTGCAATTGATCTATCACATGTCAATTATTTGCAATTATTTGTGTAACAAAGCTCAAAAAAAAAAGTTTGCAACTAGCCTCTAAATTAAAAAAATATGGTTTGAGGCAGACACAAGATTTGCAAATATTTTGGCACTTAAAAGATATGGCCATAAAGTTTAGAACCCCTTGGATTTTTTCAAATTTATTTTCACTGGAATCCATCTCATACCAACCTACTAAAAAGACTAACTTAAAAAAACCTGAAGTAAAATTAACTTCAAATTTCTAAAAAAGAATTAAATATAAAAACACAAATATTATAAAATAAATAGCCTTTTGATAGTTGTTGTTGCTGCTGATTTTATTTCAAATGCAAAATAACAACAAATATATTTTATTTTTTATTAATTTTTATGTTTACTTTAACAATTTATGTCATTTATTACATTTTATGATCTGCTGAAAAATTTCACAAAGTTGTTTTGAAATTACCTCATCTCTCATCTGTCTAATGTTTCTTCCTTCCTAAAAAAATATAGAGCAAGAAAAAAGTATAGAGAAATTCAATAATATCAAAGATATTATAGCTTTTTTAAACAAACAGAAAATTTTATTTAAAAATAATTAGTAAAAAAATAACTTACTTTTCCAATGATACCTCCTGCATCCTAATAAAAAAAAAAAAAAAATTAACATTAAAAAATTATTAAAAACAATAAAACTTTTTTCCCCAAAATTTATTTTCTAAAAATAATAGCTTAAACAAACTTCTAAAACGATAGCTTGAGCATTTATTGAAAATCTGAACATAGCTAGTATATATTTACAATGTGAATAATTAGATCAACCAAATATGTAACACATCAGATCAATACACCGTGAAAAATTGAATCAATTAAATAAATAACCAAATTTAAAATTTATAATTGATTTTTTTATAATTTTTTCACTATACTAAAAAGAGATAATAAATTGTTAGGAGGACAACAGTAGGACAACATATAATTAAAAAAAACAATCAGTAAAAAATGTAATAAAAGAACAATAATAACTAGGAAAATACTATTTATTGTACTATTATATATACTATTATACTATTTATACTATCTTATGTTTAAAAAAAATTAGAATATAATTTATAAAAATTATATTTGTTTAAAATCTGAAATTTTTATTTAAATTCACAACTTTCTAATCATTTTGAAATCAAATTTTGTGTGATGCAATTATTGACAATAAGACAAGAGATAACCTAAGAAGATGTAAAACGGAACTCACAAAACAACTTAGTTTGGTTTAGGTTAAAATTATTAATCCACTGCAAGTCCCAAACTGTTTAAGATCAGCTGCCTGTTCTAAGCAATCAAAATGATGACTTTTTGTCAAAACTAGGGCATATAGTTGTTTCATCAGCAAATAGAGTCACTTTAGAAATAATATTATCAGGAAGATCATTAATATAGATCTAGAACAACACATGACCAAGGTTGAAATTATGGAATACTCCAGAAGTTACTGGAAATGTAAAGTGTTCAATCAATGACAACTTAAATACTTCACTTAGAAAGTAATGATAGAGTAATTTTAAAAACTTTCCCAGATAAACTATATGAATCAAGCTTACGAAAAAGACCAGCATGTCAGACTTATCAAAAGCCTTTGATACATCAAGAGCAACATTCCCTTGCCTCATCACTTCTATATAGTACAAGATCAAACCTTTAAGCTATAATGGTTAAAAAGCCAGTAGTTAAACAAGAGGATCAAAACCTGTATTGATTGAAAGTATGTTTTTAGAATCAAGATGAGATAAAAGGTTGTTAATAATAGATTCTTTTCTTATTTTATCATATATATATATATATATATATATATATATATATATATATATATATATATATATATATATATATATATATATATATATATATATATATATATATATATATATATATATATATGTATATATATATATATATATATATATATATATATATACATATATATATATATATATATATATATATATATATATATATATATATATATATATATATATATATATATATATGTATATATATATATATATATATATATTATTATTATTATTATATAATAATATATATATATATATTATTATTATTATTATTATATAATAATATATATATATATATGTATATATATATATATATATATATATATATATATATATATATATATGTATATATATATATATATATATATATATATATATATATATATATATTATTATTATTATTATTATTATAGTCAGTATTATACACATCAAAGCAAAGGTACCCTTTAAATAATTAGCCCTTAAAAGCATTTAAAAAATCTCACAAAAAATCTGAAAAGTTTCTTAAGACTTTATGGTTTACAAACAAATAAAAAAACATGTTTACTGACAAACGCTGATAAATAAGAATCTTTGCCAGATACAAAAATGTTTTGTAAAATACAATAAATTTGAAAATAAAAGTAAAGATTTTATTCTTAACTTTTTTCATTAAAATGTATTGAAAGCATTTACAACAGAGAGCATTTAAGCCCATCATTACATATAAATGATCAAACAGCAATTTGATAACTAATCTATGCACTAAAAGAACTTTTTTTTAAAAAAGCATTTTTTCGACCATCACTAATTTAAGGGACTGATCTTATCACCTCTCCCAAGAATAAGGCAGAACTATTTGCCATGAACTTTTCTACTATTTTCAACTCTTGAATCTTATGACCATACTCTTATTGTCATTCCAGCTAAAAAGGTTAACCAATTGTTTGACATTTAAATCACTCCAGCTTTTGTTGCTAAACTCATATCTCAATTAAACTATCATATAATCATAGGGGTGTCTTGAGTAGAGCAAGCTTACCAAAAGACTGCTCTTCACCAGCAACAAAGCAGAAAAAAATATTTATCTAGCTAGATGCTACAGAGAAATACATTTTAAAAAGTGTAGCAAAATCCAAGATAAGAAACAACAACTTGACTTAACTGAAAGAAATTTGTTGAATTTCTGAATTTTACCAGTTTTCTTTTCTTTGTCTGTAACTTTTATAGCATAATCTTTGAGTGTACCCTTTATTTTTAATTTATTTGCAGTTTTGACACCTGGATTCTTTCTGACATGAGAGCCAATATTTTTTTTCTTGAAACTGGACATGTTTTATTTTGTTTCTAGTCAGAACTAATGACAAATCATTTTCTTAATGGTCTATTATAAAAAAAAGAGTTAAATGTAGTTTTTTTAATATTAATGTATATATTATACTCATATTGTTTGACTAATCCTAACTGAAAAACTTGAATGAAAGACATGTACTAATTTAAAGGACTATTTTAATTCATTAATCAAATATTCTTAGAATCTCAGGTATGTAATGTTTTTTTTTTTTTTCATAAGATTTAGCATTCTTATTTTAGAATACACTAACACAATTTACATATAACACAGCTTTGTTTGACTTTTTAAAGTAAGTTTTTTAAGATTGTAAAATAATTCAAATTATAATACCAAAAATATATATTTCATATACTAACATAAAACATTTGAACAAACCTGACTCAATATAATAAAGTGAAGCTCTAACTTCTCTTCTGCCATCCTATAAACCTGAAAAATAGACCGTGATCAAAGTCAAATTATTGTGCACCTTATAGCTTTATTGAGTTATATATAAGTGAATTTTTTCATCATCATCATCATCATCATCATCATCATCATCATCATCATCATCATCATCATCATCATCATCATCATCATCATCATCATCATCATCATCATCATCATCATCATCATCATCATCATCGTCATCATTATCATCATCATCATCATCATCATCATTATCATCATCATCATTACTATAAAAAAAAAGTTTTTTAAATGCTATATTAATTTCATTTAAAATTTAAGTTATTTAAAATTTTTTAAATTTTAAATGTTGCAAGATAAAAAAACTGTGAGACTTTTAACTCAAGTTTAACAGTCAAATTGGCTTTTTAGGGAAAATTTGATAAAAAAAAAAGCCATGCTTAACCGAGACACTAAACATGCTAGAACATTATTTCAAAATCTAAAACCGATGAAAAAATTTTTTTTCTCAAAAATACTCTTTGATTTAAGAATAAAAATTAAATGCATCTATTTTTACATTAGCAGATACTGATGGGTTTTGGGTGCTGATGGGTCCCAGAAAATGTTAATACTAGGCTTAAAAATGTAAATGCAGAGAGCAAATCTAATTATAAAGACTGATGCATCAGCATCAGTCTGTATTCACCAGATTTGCACTCTATATGGGCAATTCCACAGGGGAAAATGAAAAAGTAGTCAAATTTTATTCTCTTTTTTGTCAACTTTAAGCATATGAATATTGATGTAGACACATGAAAGTTTATTTAAAATATACCTTTAGTACTAAAATTTATTTATTCAAGTCATTTTTATGTTTTCAAAAGTTACAGTTTTTCTCATTGTTGCATGATGAAAAAAATTTATCATTGTAAACTGTTATTTTAACTATGAATTTATTTGCATAATCAAAATTAATTTAGCATGAAAATAGAGCTAACATGTTCAAATTGTTGTTGGTCAGATTTTATACTTAATAAAATGTATTTATTTCAAGAAAATAACAAAAGAACTTTTGCATTTTTAACGTAAATTAACAAAAATATAATAGTTTTTTTTTTAAATTTAGTTAAAAAACCTAAGTTTTTAAATAATATATCTAAAAAAATATTAAATGTTACATTTTTACATTTAAAGTTTTGAATAACAATGCTTAATTAAAGTACATTTTTATTTCAAATTTGTGTAACTTAAGTTAAAACTACAATTTACTAAAGAAGATTACTAAAGAACATTTACTAAAGTTCTGACACTTTTTCGTTAAGTTTTCATTACTTGCAAAATGAATAACGTCATCATTTAATTCTTTTTTTGTTTTAGTAAAACAAAGTCTTATTTTTGTTTTAGCAAAACAAATTGCTTGTAAATGCAAGGAGGGTCATCCATAAAGTGCATCTATATTTGTCAATTTTTAACCCCGTTCCACCTGTAACAAACAATCACATATACCTGAACCCCCTCTCCCTCCTAAACTGTGACAGCAGTTTTTATATTTATATTATCAAATTTTTTTATACACTGCGACCATTTTCTATAGGTGCATGTGGATTATGTCTTAAAAATGTACTTAACTTTATTTTTATAGTGATTTTTATAAATTATAAATAAGGTATCAAAAAATAATGAAAATTATCAAAAAATAATATCAAATTTGAAAAGAGATCAATCATAAATGAATTAAATTCAAAAGATAGCTGACTATTTTCTATAGACGCAGTTCACATTTTTTAACTTAAATATTAAAACAAATATTTTTATCATATTTTTAGCACTCGATTGGACCTCCTTTGCACCCAATTATTTGATAAATTCGTCTTGGCATACTTCCCGCCAAGTTTTCCAGCACTTTTGGCTCCATATACTTCCAGCATTCTGATACCGCTACTTTTAGCTCTGCCACAGAGTTATATTGCTTCTGGTCAGCATAGATACGTCTTACAATGATTCCCCAGATTTTTTCAGCAGGATTCAAATCTGAACTGCGAGCAGGCCACCACATTTCCTCAACTTTTTTAGCTTCAAACCAAGCTTTAGTCTCATTACTAGTGTGAATGCTGGCATTGTCTTGTTGAAAAACAAACTTTTTGTGTCGATATTTGTTTTTAAATGGAATCAAACATGATTTCAGTACATCAATGTATTCAAAACTTTTCATTTTGCAAGATGTAAATACTAAATTTAACTTTCATGTTGCACAAAACCCAAGCCAAACCATCAAAGATACACCACCAAAATTCCTTGCTGATAAATATTTGGGTTCTCTCCTCAAATCACGCCAGTAGCCACTAAAACCATCAGGCCCATCAAGATTAAACTTTTTCTTGTCTGAAAAAATCACCTGGTATTAAAAACAAAAATATTCAGCTATTTAGACATCTTACATAATTATGAGAAAAATCTAAAATTTCTTACTAATTTCATTCTTATGAAAATAAGGCAATACGCATAAACATAAAAAGTGCAAGTAAAAATTTTGATCAACTAAAGAATTTCTTATTTAAATGACTTAATAAGTATTAAGAAAGTTGTCATATTAAAATAATTTTTTAAAGTTGCTCTTGGTCTTGCAGAAAAAATTGTTATCGATTAGATAACTTATATAAATGCTATGAAAAATTACTCAGAAAGAATACCACTAATTTTTTAAAATTGCCTTTATTAATTTCTTTTAATAAATGTGATCAATACTTTTGTAATTCTTTTGTCACATAACTTTCAAAAAATCTAACCCTTAATAATAAATATTAAAAAATCCATGATAATAATGACTTGGTAATGTAAGTTAAATATATAGTATCAAAAAAACAAGTCTATTTTCCTTAGCTGGTCTGATTTTCAAAAATATATGAAAATTTACCTCTGATAAATTTTCATATATTTTTTAAATTGGTATAGAATTCTCAACATCTTGCAAACGTTTCCAATACAAACCACTTAACTAATTCACAGAAATCTGATCTGAAAGTTGAAGCAATTTTTTGAACTTGTTTTCTGTGTAACATAAGTTAAGTGGCATTTTCAGTAATAAGTTTGCCCTCTTTCAGCCAGACTCAAAACTTTTTAGCTTATTTTATTCTTTAGACTAACAGCTTTCAAATAAAATAGCTAAAAATTTCATTTACAATTTAAATAGACAAACATTTGATAAAGTTGTTGTGTGTAACGTAAGTTAAAAATGGAATTGCTTATATGTATTATTATTACATTTTATTTTTAACCATCTCTTATGCAATTTTAGTACATTATTTTAGAACTAGAAATTAATTTTATAAATAATTATATAAGCTAATTTAAAAAATTATGAATAAAGAAACTCTAGAGTTATTTTGATTAAGGGAATTAATTTAAGTTTCTGTTTCAGATATTCACTTATTATTCCTCAAAGAATATTTTCAATTTTCCTATGTATAATCTTTACCTTTACATAAATCAAAACTTCTCCAACTTGTTTTTTTTAAATTTGCTTTACTAATCAGAGTATTAAATGATTACTATAAAAATTAATTATAAAATAAATTATAAAAATTACTATTTTAAAAAGACAACGTTATTTTTTTAAACAATAATTTTTTGCAACTTTTTGGAAAAAATGTTTATACAAATTAAAAATAATATATTTTTTTCTTTTCAATAATTTAATTTCAGTATTTAAATAAAATTTGTTCATTTATTAAACAACCATTGGAAGTAATTTGTAAAATTGTATATAATAACTGTATATAATAATTGTATATAATTGTAATATAATAAATTGTAAAAAAGTTTTTGGCGTAACTTTAATAAAACGTTTCAAAAGATAAGTTCTAAAGTGATTTATTTCAAATGCAATTAAAAACGCAACAAAAAATAATTTTCGCTTCAAGTTTGAATTTTTTGAGGTTTATTTTAAAGCTTTATATCAGGGACCTCCAGTTCTGAAGCCAGAACTCTAACCACTGCACCACAGCAGCTCTCCTCTACACCACAACTGCTCTGCATTTTTAACTTGTAATTAGGACTTGTGCAACCAGGAAACTTAAAGTAAATTAAATTAAAATAACAATCAAAGAAAATGTAAAGTAGAGGACTAAGAAAGAGTAGTGTCATTGACCAACCAATAGGAGTTCAAACAATAATGCAATAATTGTTAACCATAAATTTTGTTTAGGTTAAAATTCACGAGATGCCCTTAATCCATCACCAAAAAAAGACCTGAATTTTGATTCAAAATTTGGGTGATCAAAAAAAAATAAACTTTTTAGTTGCATTATCAGCAAATAGAATACAGCATATACTTTAGAGGTAAGATTATCAGAAAGATCATGCGAAACAGTTCTGTTCAGTATACTCTTTAGCACTAACACACAAGTATGCACTTATTGAACTTTTTTTTTAGCTTTAATTTGAACATTTGTAAAAAATAGACTTTTTTTTATCAAATAACTAACTATATTTATAATAAAATAATAAATATTATATTATAAATACATACATACATACATACATACATACATACATACATACATACATACATACATACATACATACATACATACATACATACATACATACATACATACATACATACATACATACATACATACATACATAAATACATAATCCACAATAACTTTTAAGTTTTAGATTGTAAACAAATCAGTTTCCATCACTAACTTTTATCTACAATGCACTTTTCAGTCTTATCAAGAAACTTTTTATATTTATAAAAATGAAGACTTTAACATGGCTGGTAAAAAAATATTTAAATATTTTGCAATAAGAAGATCTATAAACATAATGAATCAATTTTATAATTTTATTAAATGAGTTACTCTCTCTAGTTTAGGCTTGCCATTCTTCTTTTTTTTCCATGAGAATGCAGTAAAAATTTTAATTAGTTTCGCTTTTATTCTACAAAACAGCATTGAAATAATTACATCAGGACTACATTGCAGAAATAAAGAAAAACTAAACTATTGCAATAACTGTGGATTTTAAAATTCTCAATGAAATTTGCATCATTTAGTAAAACAAGTAAAAAAAAAAAATGAAACATTCTTATTCTCCTAATGTATGTGAATATCATTGAAACACAAATAATTATTAAATATATATAGTATAAATGAAACAATATAAGTATCACTTCCTAATCATTTAAAAATAATATTCTACTTTTATGACTTTACAAAAAAAATTATTTTCAACAGCAGAAAATTAAAAAAAAAATTTCAATGTATCAAACTATTATAATTAGAACACAACCCAACCTGAGTTGGTTTTTAAGTTATAAATGTTAAGGCAAAAAAAAAAAAAAATTTATCTTATTATGTTTAACTTCTACTTTATCTAAACTTACGTAAGCCATTTTAAAACTTTAAGTGTGCAAAATATATTATGTTCATCCTATAATAAATATTTATTTTACATTTTATGCATTAAATATATATATATATAATATATATATTATATATATATTTAATATATATAAATATATATATATATATATATATATATATATATATTTATATTTATATATATATATATGTATATATATATGTATATATATATATATATATATATATATATATATATATTATATATATATATATATATATATATATATATATATATATATATATATATATATATATATATATATATATATATAGTATATTTAGTAGTATGCTATATTTATAATACTAGTTGTAAAAGCTGATACTTTTATAATTAAGTAAATGCATAATAAATATGTATTAAAATAATTATCAAAGTCGTACGTAATAAAAATACAAATTATGATAATTTTATTTGTTTGCTTGTTTAAACTAATTTTAATTTTACATCGGTACAAAGCCGCTTTCGAAAATCAATAACACAAAATATTTACCTAAAATATTTTCTAAATCTCATGTGATTATTGTAGGTTTTTGAAGTTTCTTTTTTGTTTTTTTTTTTTGTTTGATATTTATAAATGAAACATATTATATTAGCATAGTCATATAATGCAGAATCCTATATAACAGCACCCCAAATTACGTTATTTAGAATACAAGATTATACATAGCTATGTAAATAAATAATACTACTTTAAAATATAGAGGGGAAAAATGTGTTTCAACATAAAAAGTAGAGTACTATTAAATTAAAAAACTTAACTTACCAAAAAAAGGGGTATAAGTTTTTGTTTTCCAAATGTAAGGGATTGTTAGTTAAGGGTGATAGGTGAAGCATAAATAGGGGGAACGCGAATTGAAAATAAATCTTATTTTGTAGTCATCCTAGACTTCATTTGCTTTTATTTTCGCCAATAAATTTCCGTGTTCATTCATACATTTCATAACGGAAAGATCATGATTTGCGTTTGCGCTATAACGGAGATAATATCAAACATTTGCTGTGCTCATTGTTTATTCTGTATAGTCAAAGCAGGTACAAAGTGCGCACCACATTTAGTCTAGGGATCAATATTTTGGCTGGAAGCGTCCTGCAAAACAGACCAATTATAAATATTTGTTAGGGATTTTTAATATATGAAAAGCTTAGGCATTGTGCAAACTCCAAACTTGTTTATGCTTATGTCAAATAAGAATGTTTTACAATAAATTGTGGAAATTAAAACCTTGGAACAAAAATACTTCAAATTCTTTTCTTACCCTTCCCTAAATGTGAAGGCAATCAGTTACTGAGTTTTTTACTTATACTTTTGTAATTTAAACTTTTATTTATTAACACATTTCATATTTCATCGAATAATGCTTCAGTTTTTAAAAAATATGGTGTGTAAAGTTTCAATCCTCGCCAAAATGAGGGTTAGTAAATTTTACATGGTCATAAATTTTGGACGCTTAAAGATATGAATCACCTCACAACCATAAACATACTTAATCGAAGTTAGCACAAAAGAGTTGTCCATAAATTACGTCATGCAATTTTAAACCGTTTTCGACCTCTCCCCTCGCGACAACAACGTAACTATTTTGAAACAAATCCCGTACGAGTCGCCTCAAAACCATTAACAACTCCTCCGCTCCGCTCAAAAAACCTATACGGAGTCCCTTATCCTCGTAATCCTCGTAATCTTCGTAAACATATTCATTTTAAAGTATGAGTATTCGTTAAAAATTATTTCATTATAGAAGTTCGACCTTATTTCAGCCATGGTATTTACAAGCGACAATCGGAAAAGTGCAGTATAAGTCTACTTTCCAACTTTTGCAGTCGCATACTTCATCAACTTTGAAGAAAATTATTTTAATTCTTTAATAAATTTTCAAGTTTTCAAAAAGTACGCATTATAGAGTATAATTGTAAAGAAAAATTTTTAAACATGACAAATAAAATTAGAGTTAACTTTATTTTTACTTTAAATATAAACAACTTTTTTTTTCTATTTTTAATCACCTTTAATATTTGTAGAAATAATTGTAAACAAATAATTGATAAGTACATTCAATGCGAATTTTTGTACATATTGTTTATAACGCAAGAACAAAGACTGCTTTGTGAAGGATACATAGCTTATAGTTCTTTGAGCTAACACTCGATTACATTAGATACTGTTTATAAACTAAGTTTTTTTCAAGTTTTTAAAATCTAGCTCGTCAAATTGAGCAAATGGCCTATGATAGTCATTAAAATCTAAAATGAAGTTTATTTTACACGAAATCAATTATGTTTTTTATAATTTTGTTTATTTTATGCAACAAAAAAAATTATTTTCTTACTCATTTTATCTGGCAACATGTAACTCAATGCAACCTGCTCCATGTCCTGTTGCCTTGTGGTAATTGTTTTCTAACCTGGAAGAAATGTACTTCTAGTCATCAATACTATCTAATAACTGCCATGGTTATTGTAAGTGTTCTGTTTACTCACCTGCAAGTTGCTATCTGTATGTTTGTATTCTGTATGAACTTTTGGCACGGTGTTCATTCAGCCGTAGGCTGTTTTAGATATTTTTGTATTCTGTCTGAACCTCTTGCGCAATGTTGGCTCTCCCATAATTTACTATATGTATGTTTATGCTCTGTATGAACCTCTGGTGTTTAATGGTGTTTAATGATGTTTAAGGTGTTTAATTATTAAAACATTAGACTGGCTGGTAGTAAGGTTTCCCGAACTCTGTGGTTACTCTCAGAGAGGCTAATTCCATCAACAGCTATAAAACATTAGAGTATTAGCAATGCCTTGTTGCAATAGGATGTTGCTCTGCTAATGCTTTTTATGTGCGTTGTCGAGGCCACATAGGGAGTTCTAACTTAAAACTTTGGGTAAATTAACAGGACTGAGACAAATGTATAACTCATTGCTTGGGATGCTGTGCTCAATCTGTGAATAAGTCAGGTTCTTTTTATCATGCCAAAATAGTAAACATAAAAAATCTCAACCACTTTACTGCTTCAGTATACCTTTCACAAATATTCGTGGTCTTAAAAATAACCTTCCACCATTTCAATCTTACCTGTTGTAAAATTCACTAAATTAACATTCTCTTTGTGAAACTAATTTAAATTTGGCTGTTCCTTCTTAAGATCTCAGTATTGATGGGTACTATCTTTTGATTTGCAAAGTCTAACATAGTTACATGCTTAGCTTGGGTGAAAAAATACGTAATAATTCACTTATTTGTAGAGAAATTAGGTTTGAAACTTTTGACCATTTATGTGTTTTTATCTAGCACTTCTTTAATTTATCATATATCTCATATATTATATCATACAAGGCCGGCGCGATAGGGGGGTGTAGGGGGGGGATGTGTTACACCCCCCCCCATCAATGACTTTTAGTTGGCAAATTTGACCCTAAGTCGGCAAATGTGACCCTTTTTGACTAGTTAGTCGGCAAATCTAGTCCCTGTTGATAGGTTAGTCGGCAAAGTCAGTCGGCAAATGTCGTTATGGCAGTCGGTAAAATTTCAAAAAAATTTTTTTTTTTTTAATTTTTTATTTGGACGGCAAAAGTTGTAATAGCACCCCCCACGTGACCCCTACTCGCGCCGGCCCTGATATCATATATCATATTCTTTATCATATCATATGTTTTCTATTGTTATCCTTCTTTTCAAGGCCGCACTCTTTTAGATGTAAAAAGATGTTAGATTATAGATATTAATTTTTAAATTAACAAAAGGTATAGTTTCTGATCATTTTGAGCATGCTTCTTTTTTTACTCCTCTGCCAATATTTTTGTTATTGATGACATTAAGGCTCATCACACTAAATGGCTTGGCTCTAACATACCACTGACCCTGCTGATAATAAAGCCTATAACTTCTGCATTTCTTAATCTCATACTCTGATAGTTAGCTTTGTGACTCATTTTCCAGATAACCCTACTTTTACTCCTTGCTTTGTGTCTTCTCTCTGACCCTAACTTATGTTCAGCTTCTTCTTTTGCTCCCTTAGGTGGTTCCAATTTTTAATGTTAAAAGGTGTTTAATGCTAAGTTCCATTGTTCTTTGTTCAAGAAACTGCTCATCTTATTTCAGAAGTTAGATACTAGAGTCTTTTAAAAAATCTTCAACTGCGTCATTAACAAGAGTAGGTCTAAAATTCCGTCCCTTGTTCATAGGACTAATCTTTTTACCTCTCATAAGAATGAGACAGAACTATTTGCAAAGATCTTTTATTCTAAATTGACTTTTGAATCTTTTGGGCATATTCTTTCTTCCATTCCAATTAAAAGGTTAACCCATTGTAAGACATTGAAATCACTCCAGCTTTCCGTTGCTAAAATTGCACCTCAAATAAACTCCTCTACGGCTTGTAGTCCAGACAATGTTCCTGTTTTAATCTTTCAAAAGTGTTCGCCAGAACTCTCTTTGGTCCTCTCTAAATTATTTAATAAGTGCTTGACTAAGCCTTGTTTTTCTGCTTCTTAAATATGGCATCAGTTGTTCCAAATTTCAAAAACTCCAGAGAACAATCTGAACCCTCCAACTATCGTCTTGTGAAATATATTATATGAGCTATGCATGTGAATAGTTTTTTAGTTAGCTTAGAGGCAGATTTAAAAAAATAATTAATTGTTAGAGATTAGCTGGGTTAGTAGTATTTTTAAGACGGGACTTAGATATAATTTTTGTTCGTTTATTTAGAATTTCTTCAGGTTTTGCGTAAGATATAGTTATAAGTTTTTCATATATGTATATAATTTTTAAAATATATATAAGTTTGCGTAGTGAGCATCTTTTAGAAATATTTGAGTAGGAGGGTTTATTTTCAAGATAAAACATTTGAAAATAATGGGTTTCGTTAAATTTAGTTTTCCATTCCCAAACATAGTCAGATAGGGTGGTAGTTTTTTTGTATTTAACGTTATTGAATGGCAACTTTATGATTATCTGGTTTTCCACTTACTCTCCATTAATTCAATATAAAATTTTAGGGAGTCCCTCAAGGATCAATATTGGGGCTTTTGCTTTTCCTTGTATACATCAACAAACTTAACGTTTCAACTTAATATCTTTCGCATTATCAACAAACCCACCAGGATAACTTTTCAAATCAATTACTGCTATTGATAATATATTAACAAACTCAATACAAGATACTTCTCTAAAATCAGGAACAGATATTTCAGATCACTTTCCAATAAACTTCTCTTTGTCGCAAAATTCCACAAAAATTAAAAATTCAAAAATCTTATGTTATAAAAGAACTCTCGAAGCGTCTACTTAAAAATTTAAGGACTTGCTATCGGCGACAAATTGGCAAAAGGTCTACCGAGAATGTAACCTAGGTAACATAAACTTTGCGTACATTAACTTTATAAATTTATTTATCCTACAGTATAATGAAAGTTTTTCAATTCAAGAAAAAGAAATAAAAGCAAAATATTTAAATTGTCCATGGATAACAAAAGAAAATCTTCAAAACAAAAGCAAAAACTATACGTACTATACTTAAAAAATAGAAGCAAAGCGAACCTATCCATCTACAAGCAATACAAAAACTTATTTGAAAAAGTAAAAAAAAAAAATATAAATTTATATATTTTCTAATCAAATACAAAAATTAAAGGGAGACTTAAAAAAGAAATGGGACATTATGAAGAAAATAATTGGAAAAAGTAAATCTAATTTTAACAAAATACCTTTTAGAGTAATAATTAATGAAAATGAATCAAACAGCATACGAGATATTTCAAATGAATTTAACAACTACTTTGCTTATATTAGTGCTGATCTTGCATCAAAAATTCAATGCACAAAAAATACATTTAAAAGTTACTTAACAGGCTTACACTGCTCTTTAAATTTCAATGAAAAAAAACCAAGACGAACTTGAAATAGCTATAAAATCACTTCAAATCAAATCCCCAGGGATCGATGATATCTATTGCAAAGTAGTGTTAGAT